CTGCTGAATTAAAAAAATCATCCTAGTCACTTTACTCAGCTAACCTATCTTATCAGATTGTATTTTTATTTGTTAATGAAAAGAGCCAGCTCGCACGAAGGTTGTAAAGCTACAGAATGACACCTGTTGCAAAAAATACGTCTCCACAGCAAATTAATTTTCAAGCAGTGTTTCCCTCTGGCATAAAGCACTTTTCACTGGCAGTGAATGCATTAAAGAATCATAAATGAAGTCTATCCACTTTGAATGCTGATTTCAGGCTATGAGGTGCCATGCCTACCTAGATGACTGGGCAGTTCCAGGAACACTGCCCATGAAGTACATAGGAGTCATGGGAGTTCCTACTGCAAACTGATGTAGGTTGGAATTACTCCGACTGCGCCTCAAGGAACCTGCATACGAGATAGATTTTGCAGCATCCTTGCTTGGCGAGGATGACAGAGCTCTGCTCTTCGACAGTCTTGGAATGTAGGACTTCTTCACAGAAGTTCGACCACTGAAAGAAGGAACATTAGGCCGTACAACAAAGTATTCACTTACTTGAACACAAAAATAAATTTCCCTGCAGCAAGAGTGTTCTTTTTCTAAACAGCACATAAACATTACAGAGAGGCAGACAGAATGCAACTTACCGTTGAGATGGGCCCGGTTCAGGAAGTTCTCCTACATTTCCTAATGATGAAACTCGAAAAGGAAGAACATTTGTTTTGCGTTTGCCAAGAGATGACTTTCCCATCCTGATGCTTTTACCTGTGCATGAAACAGCTCATTAAACTAGTCCACAATCACTAATGTTTCCTTTCAGATACCTCTTTTAATACAAAGGCCTAATTATTTATAACCTGACACACTTTTCTTATTTATCTTCCCTCACTTAGTCATTACACAGTGTTTGGTCTTACCAGTGACGGTTATTTAAAAGCATCACTCCTCATGCTCGTGTCACAAATTCCAATATATTTAGTTCATCTACATTTAAAGCTAGCTTATTAACGACACGAGGCTGACATATCCTTCAACTTTGGCACAATGAATTGTACATGACTCACAATTTGAAAAATCAGAAAGCACTAATGGGAAATGAAACAAGCTGACCAATGGAACAAATACCGCAAGTATACATCTACAGCAAATACTGTTCAAATTGATTCTTACCCTTTCGAAACGTTTCTACCAAACAAGCAATAACCAACTACATCCACACATTAATAACATCTACGTGCAAATCCTATTGCCGCCTTTTCTGACCACCGGAAATAGACTCCAGCGCCATCATTGAAGACACGAAAATACCAACGGTTTTTGAATTCAATGTGTTAGTTACCGACGAATAATAAATAGGGTAATTCACAAAACTATTATTTCAAGCGATACTGCACTAGATGTAATTCACAAAAGTTGAACTCTGTACCTAACTATTGTATATGAGAGACTTTATGTTGAATGCGCGGGGTATATATAAGCTCGAAATCGGGGATGCCAACCATCGAAAATTTACTTACTCCTGTTTAATGCCAGGTCAAACAATACGTTGGAATATTGGGCGTTTTGTTCGTTAATGATGGCTTTGCGTTTACGACTTTTGTATGTATGGAATTTTTCTAAAATATCAAGCATTTTACCCTTTGGAGCTACTGTTAATATGTCCATGATATCATCTATTGGGCCTTATTCGTGTCCGAGTTCAGCATATTTCGATTTTAGAGATGAAAATTGATGACGGAAGGCGTGACTCAGGACAATACATTTAGGAGGACTTGCAGTTTTTACTGCGTAGTAAATTACTGAATAAAAGACTCACAACCAAAAATAAAACATTTTAAGTACAATAATAATAAAGTTGTCATGTGGTTCAGATGTACAGCATAAAAATTAATGGTATTACACACTAGTTGAGACGATCGGCAAGAATGTCAACTTTGTATTCCGAGAAAAATTGGATTATGGATTTCTACTATGGGTGTTAAAATAAAGGAATTAATATGGTATAAACACGCCCACCACTATTTTTTGTATAGAAAATTACCACTGCCCGTCATTTCTATTTAGTGGTTTTTCAGACTAATTCCAATTTATACTAGAGGATGTGAAGTTTCAAACAACTATACTATGTTGGGTGCTGATTTTCTTGCTTTTTTGGATGTTTCATTCCCTACTATTCCTACGTTCCCAAGTTTCCATTTTACCGATATGCTGCAGCATTTATTGTATATTTTGTATAAACTAATTCTCAGCTGCATCACATCCAAATTCTTCATCATAATTTGGGAGGATTGAAACTTTGTAGAACAACTAACATTTGCTGTAAAATGTGCACTATTCATGCCCATTATGTCACGGAAAGCCTTACACATGAGTGTCTCTGCAGGTCAGGGAAAGGACAAAATGATAAGCAATTAAATCCATGTTGGTTGTGTTATATGAACCGTGATGTGTACCACAGGTGTCTCAAACGCATTGATTGTCGACGATCTCGCATACTCGTTGATATCTAGGGGCCTTGCGTGCGTTCGCCGTGTCAAAATATCAGCAGTTTGGATAAATTTCGGTTCACGTTGTCTGATGGTAGTTCTGTAGTCTCGGGTTTAACACTGCGACGGAAATTATCCCGACATTTTGGTGTTGAAATTTTTTTTGTAGTTTTTCGATTTAAAAATGGATACAGTAGATGACTATTCTGAAGTACAAATGTCGCCAGTAGTAAAATTAACTGATGGAATTGATGAGGTAAAGCTGACATGAGTTGAATTTTTCCCTTTGAAGGTGGAGGCGATTTTATTTCAGGGTCATTAGTTTTTACTACTAAGTAATGACTGTATTGACACTTATATCCATTGTGACATCAATGGGGCCATAAGTGTCCTGTGTTTTCTGAGTGATATGCATATCCTGTTGTGTCTTTATTGTTTCTAATTGACCAGACATATTCCTATGTCTTTCTTGAGATGTTCTTCTGGTTAGACCTATATAAAATTTTACATGCTTATTACTACAAACATGTGAAAGGAATTAAATGATCCTGATTTTATCCATTTTTGGCTTTGACATGAATTAGAAGATAAATTTCTTGTGTATATTTTCCATCATGTGTATATTAATTTACTTTTTCTGTAACATGTTGGTAGATACAAATATCTTTGTTTTTGGCATTTTTTCTGCAGCTTACTATTCACGATATATGTAGCGCAGAGCAATATGTAAAGAATTGTGTGATTTTCAGTGCTTCTTGGTCCAAACATTTTGTCTTCTGTGTACGTACTGAGTTTTAGATTATAATTCCATTTACAAGCATGGGAAAAGATGTGACATGGAGGCACTTAATATGGATGTGCATACATTTGTAGATTTGATCTATAGTTATAGATACAATAATTTTTCATACTTAAAAAGTGAAGTTAATATTTGTTATGTTCATTGTTGCAGGAAATTAATATAAGGTTCTTTTACAACATTTAAAGTGGATGTCAGTGACTGTTGAGAACAATGTCTCCTACTTTGTTGAAGATGATTAACTCAGAACCTGGTGGACTCTTTGGCACGACCAAAGCATTGAAAAGGATTTGAGATTTGGAACTTGGATTGTTAGAAGTCTCTATAAAGGTACGGCTGCACTGCACCTCGTGGGCAGTGTGCTAGGTGCTGTGCGTGTAAGCAGGAAGGATGGCTCTCTCGAAGCTATCCAAGAAACTTTTATTGATGGAAAGAACAGTTTTGAAGCTTGACAATGTGTCTTCTTATTTGTGTTGGGTGCATGAATTCAATCAGTGGAGGGGTTCATTAGTAGAGTTTAATAATCTATATATATAGAGCCAATGAAATGGGCCTTGCTATTAATGAAAGTAAGACAAAATACATGGAAATATCGCACAGACCAACCAATATGGAATACTTGAAAGTAAATAATTACAAGTTTGGGAAAGTAAACGAATTTAAATATTTGGGCACTTTAATTAATTCAACCAATGATCTAACTCCAGAAATTAACCATAGACTACTGATAGCTAACAAATGTTACTGTGGACTAAAAAAACAATTAAGATCCAGGCACCTCACCCTTAAGACAAAATACACGTTATACAAGACATTTCTATGACCTGTGTTGCTCTATGGGAGTGAAAGCTGATCCCTGACGAAGGTACATGAGAACAAATTAAGAGTATTTGAAAGGAAAATATATGGTCCAAAGAATGAAGATGGAAACTGGGGAATCAGATATAATGATGAATTATACAATTTATATAATGAGCCTGATGTAATTAAAGTAATAGACAGGAAGACTAAGGTGGCTGGGACACCTGTATAGAGCCAGTGAAGCACACCCAAGCAAGAAAGTGACATTTACCAATATAGAAGGAACAAGAAAGAGAGGGAGGACAACACCCCCCTCCCTCCCACTAGGTGGCTTGATAGTGTAGAACAAGATCTTCAAGCTCTCGGAGTCCAGGGATGGAAAAGGAAAGCCATACATAGGGACCAATGAAAGCTCATTGTTGGGGCAGTCAAGGCCTGTAATAGGCTGTAGAACCCGTGATGATGATATATAGAGATGCATGGAAATTTAATGACAAATTTTTTGAGTACCTACGGATGTCAACAGCCACATTTGATCGTCTCTTGAAGAAATTGAAGGACAATCTCTCAAGAAAAGAAACCAGTTTCTCCTGAAGAACGATTACTTGTAACTGTGAGGAAAGGAAAAATAAAAAAATAAACGTAATTGCAATTCTTTCTTTAAGTTTCGAAAATTTCAATCCATGTCAGTCGAAGATAGCATCAACTAAACTGAAGACACATAGTTTTTCCATTCATGATGGTACGTCTTCTGGCTGATGATTCAGGCTGGGCACATCAGCTGAATAGTCTGAAGAGAGTCTTGAAGATTCCACTTGTTCCAACTCCTGAATTATTAAGTCTTGAAATGTGGAGTGCAGATGAAGCCTTGTATGTGGAAGAGACTTTGTGTGTGGCAACAAACTTTTCAAAAATAGCAAGTCGTCATCATCTTCCTCGTGTGCACATTCTCTATCAAGAATGTCTAGCAAAATGCACAGACTGAGACTCAGATTCTAATACGGACAACTGTGAACAGTCATCTTCACCTTTATCTTCAATATTCTGAGTTGATGGTGTTACCATAGGTAGGTTTGAACATCTGATCTCTGACTTCAAAACATCCTTCAGGAAAGACATTAATGTGAAATGCGGCCATGAGCTGCTCTTCCCCCTTTCATCACTCCCATCACCGGATCTCAGCTTCTCTTATTTTCTAACCTCTTGTTGATGGTAATCCCTCAGGTTCTTCCATCTTCCTTTTACTGTTTTGACTGAAACGATATGCACCTGAATGAATAGTTCTGTGATATATTTTGAGTGATTGTCTATACTACTTAATTAATGTAACAAGTTCCAGTTAGTAGAAGGTCCCGATATTATCTTCAGAACTGTAACAAAACTTATTCTTAGAACCTTTGACATAAAGTAGCCAAAATACACTACACTTAGTTTTAGCCGAAACTCCAAATGCTAGAGTAAGTAATAACCATCTCTTTGTGTATGTTTTAGGTTCCTTGCTACTGGGGAATCATTCCACTCTCCAACACTGCATTTTCAAATGGGTAACACAACCCTGTCAGAAATTGTGAAAGATGCTTGCAAAGTGATATGGGCCATTCTCCCGACAGAAATGTGGAATAATATAGCTGATAATATGCGAACCGGTGGAATTTCCTGAACTGTATTGGGTGCATAGATGGCAAACACGTTGCAATTAAGTGTCCAGACTGAAGTGGTTCAAAGTTTTATAATTATAAACACTTTTATTCTAACTTGCTGCAGGCTGTTGTTGACAGCAATTGCAAACTGATTGTGGTTGATGTAGGCACTGTGGGCCGTCAAAGTGATGCGTGAAATTTCAGAACCTCTTCCCTCTACAAATTATTGGAAAGAAGAGAACTGAATGTTCCACCGGTTTCAGAGCTGCCTGGTATGGTTTTAAAGTGCCATTTGTATTGCTAGGAGACGAGGGATATCCACTACTACCATATTTAATGACACTATACTCAGCAAGAAACTTTGACGACAAGAAATGAGTCTTTAATTACCGGTTGTCTGTGGCTTGAAGAAGTGTAGAATGTGCGTTTGGAATAATGTGTACTAAATGGTGAATTTTGCTTAAATGTGTTGAGACAGATGAACATAATGCAACTTCAATTGTGAAAGCTATGTGTATTCTTCATAATTTTGTTCTGGAACATGAGGGACCTGACTCAAGTTACTTAAGCAGCAAGACAGAGCAAATTCGTTCTTGACGATCACAGCATCGCTTCTCATCTCATGCCCAGACTACTGTCAGGGAAACATTTTTGAATTGTTTTAACAATGTGGGATCTGTGCCATGACAAAATGGTTGTTTTGCTGGAAAATATTCTGCAACGCCACAGTACAGTATAAATGTTGTATCTAAATCAGAATGTATGTAAATTTTATGCAAAGGAATTTGATAATTTGGAGGCTATTTAATAAACTTTCAACTCACCATCCTTTCTTGTTTCTTTAGCAACTTCTTCCCACTCTCTCAACACCCCAGTATGTTTATGTAAATCAACCTCCAAGTGAAACGCGTGTGCGTTCTGTTCATTTGTAATATTCAGCCTCTTGCTAGTTTTATAGATATAGAATTTCTCTAAAATGTCATGTCTTGGGAGATTATGCTTTATAGGTTCATGATATTCTTTGCATCGTATTTATGCCCATGGTCGAGGATGTGTTGCGCGTCCTTTGATTTAGTTAGAATTTTTGCTGGTTTGGTCAATAAAGACCTCGCAGCAACCGCATTATCAATGATACACATCACTGTTGCTGTATTTATTATGTTGTCTTGTCTTCTCGGATCACATCGGGGCCTTGTCTGTTTTCGGCCTTAACTTACAAGAAATCGAAAATAAATTTTACTCAGAAATAATAATTGTGGTTCGGGGGGGATTTTTAAAGTATAGTAGTTAACCTTTTTATCGACTGGGCTACTGACACGTCGCCGTTGTGTTTACTTCTAAATATTACACGGCTCTGCATTTTCCTCTAATAGCCTAACCTGTGGGCCTAACGTCCCGAACGATGACCCGAGAATTAGACCTCAGAGCACAGAAAATATAATATGGAAATAAAATTCACAGATGTTCACATAACACAAAGATATTAAATACATGTTGGTGTTACTTATTAATTTTTATAATCCTTGCCAAGGAATTATTATTATTATTATTATCTGTGATATTGTGTTGCACGAGGAACGTTTGATTTATTTCAGTGTTTTATATCATATTATTTGTGTCTTTTGAATCGTAGGCTTAAGATGCCTCTGGTAAGCAATAGGACATTAAATTGTTTTTAGGTTACCCTATTCTTGTACTTTACTGTTTTCGGAACATTGTATGCTTTTAGAAAATAGGTTATGTTGATTTGCAGCGATATCAGAAGTTTTAATTAGTTTGGTAATTTCGTGGTTATTTGGCGCTTTTTAATCCGCTTAGGTTTCTTAGGTTCGAATTGTATTATGAGTGGGTATAAAAATTGGAAAAAGCGATGACATTTGTTGCTATCTCATATGTTTGACGGATAGATAGAAACTTAGATGGACTAGCGAAAATTCAGTTATGAAGCTGTTGTTTAACCGCATAATTTGTTTAAATTGGTTAACTTGTACAATAAGCATTCGTTATTACTACTCCGTGTCCGCGGCGCTCTTCAGAGCTGTTTATAAATCAATGATCGCCAACATTCGTTGAACGGATATGGCACACCAAGAAGAAGAAGACTCCGTGGCACCGGAGCCCTTTTGTGGGGCCTTGATCTACTTGCGTTCGTTATTGACATGTCGCAAATGTTTCTGGAGCTTATCCAACCTTATGTCAAGATTTATTTACTGACCCAGTTTGAAACTGACTGTCCAAAGTTCAGATGTTATGAGAGAAAGTGCACCAATATACCTTAATTTTTTAGCTCATATGCATGCTGCATTCCCTGCCACTCATCTTTGACTTATCACCGTAGAAGAGTTAGATAGATGGAGCTCTTCTTTATGTGCAGTTTTCTTCAGTATTCTCTTATTTTCTCCTTTTAGTTCTAAATACCATCCTCGGCAACCAGTTCTCTCAGACACCCTAAATAAATTTTCCTTTCTGTGTGGAGAAACTATGTTTCATACCCATAGAGTGCAGCACATAAAATTATAGCATTGTATATTTTAATCTTTGTATTTTTCGATAGCAGACACTTCAACAAAAGATATTGAACTGGATAGTAAATTCAGGATTCCCTGGATTTGGTCTGTTCTTAATCTCTTCTTTAATGCAATTTTGATTTGTTTCTGTCATTCCCTAATATTTGACCTTTGCTACATTTTTGAAGGATTAGTAGTATATTTATATTGTGTTTTTATCATGTAGTCTGCTGATGAGACATGAATTTATATGTAATCTCTTTAGTGGTGGCTGCTGGAACGTCTGTGGTTTATCTTTGTGGTGTTAATTTTCCACCCAGTAATTGTATATTATCAGCCAAAGCAAAAAGCTGTTTTATTCTAATCTGTCCTTTATTTTGTTCTATCTTCTTAATGGCATGTTTTAAAGCAAAGTTTAATAGCAGTGGCAATAAACCATTTCCTTATCTCAGACCATTCCACATATGTAGTGCACCTGTTTACCTATTCAGACTTTATGGTTGGTTTCATTCAAACATATATTACTTTGTTGCTCTTTTTTAATAAACGTTACACAAAACACTTGTAACATGTCTTCATATAGTTGTAATAAATGAAAATTGTGTTCTATTTGTAACACATTCGACTGGTGCTTACCTTTAACATCATGAACATCTGTTGCTAACTGGGTTAAATGCCAAATAATGGGGTTTGTTGCATTAAATTAGGGTTTAGAAAATCAGGCTTTGTTAGGACAGAGGTAGGGAGAAGGGTAAGAAAACAGTATCAGAGGTCCTTTCAAGAAGAGTTCAGTCTTTCTAAAGTGTTTTCTCTCTCAAATTGAATGTGTCCAAGAGACATAATAAAATTTTGAAAAAGTTTCAGATACTTCAAAATAATTGTTTTTCAAACCACATGCCTTCTGCAGCCTTTTGTAACAAAGGTATGTTGAGCATGGCAGCAGAACATCATGATTTTACTGGACGTGGATGTAATAGGGGAATGTTGAATGAGTGATGCAGGGAAGGGGGGTGGGAGAATGAGAGAAGAGACCATACTTTCAGTTTGTACAGGAGCCATCTTGAGTATGTATAACATGAGAGTTTTGTTGTTTGTATCATTCATTCCATTTCTTGCAACTTAAAGTCTCATATTTCTCACAAGGAACCAGTAAATTAAATTACAGAATTGTCATCACATTATCAGGTTTGGCTATTTTGGGGTGATTTTTGCTCATGTTGATTTTTTACAGATACATTATATTTCTTTCTAAGAATCTAAAATTATTGACTGGTTAGGTTGATTCATTTTGTTCAACTATATTGTGATAAATGATGGTCACTGTTTTGTAAATGTGTTCATAGATTTGTTCCAGAACATTTAATTAAATAATCAAAATGGTGACAGTTTTAATTCAGAGAGCCACAGGAAGCACTTTCTACATCACGATCCTCTACTGCACATGATGCTGCGTCATTGCTTCTTGTTCAGTAATGATATTGAAACTTTAAGAAATTAAATGATTGGAAATATTGATTGATAAAAATTAAACTGATGGTAAACTAGCCTAACTAAACGAAATGTAATGTTTATGTATAACATTAGCAGAAAGAGTCCATTGTAAATCAATGGGAAATGATTTATTTCAAATCTTCATCCCTCACCCCCTTACCCTTATACCTTGTGTCTTTTTCATTTGTCTGTACCTTGTAATGTTACAGGAGAACAACAATAATAAATATTAGCTGTGCTATATCAAGCATGTCAAACTTGTGACCTGCAGGCTGAATGCAGTCCTCTTTGATATTTTTTGCAGCTCAACTCAGTTCTTAAATTATACATAATATGTGTCCAAAAAGTCACAGTATTAATAAACTTCAGGTTTTAAATGCATGTCATATAGCCTCTTGAAAATTATTGTTTTATATTTCAGTTAAATAAAGTGGAAATGTGTTTCAGTAAAATTCATATTTTTGTGCACTTGCGGGGGGAAAAAAGAGGAATAAAATATAGCTTATGGAGTTACAGCAGATGCATGTGATTTTTCTTGCCCATGTGATGGCCCCCAAAACAGTGTCCTTCAGTAGACACTGATTTTGTCATTCATGTACTGCATTAGTCTACAGATTATAGTCAGTTGTTTCTGTAAGATGTTACTGCATGCCAAGTACATGGTACTGGCCTTTTTTTAGAAGATTATGAAATTTAATTGTGGCCACTGTGAGCACACACAGACAAACTTGCCAACATCAGACTGAGTTTTGTACAATATAGACAAGACCTTTCAAAACCAAAGAGCTGCACTTGTCTGCTGTTTAAAAGTGTCATTATAACTTTTAAATTTTGCTCAAGGTTGGTATCACTGAATAATGTGTTAGAATGGTGTAATATTTTGGCAGGCTGTAGTATGTATCTACTTGCCACATAATCAGATAAAAGCATAAGGAAATAAAGCAGAGTAGGAGAATTTGCTTATCTATAATTAATTAAAAAAATTGTTTTTGAATGAATTTTATTTTGTGAAATTGGATTTTTAATACTGTTACAGAAACGGGGGAAGATTCGGATGAGCACAGTAAAGCGAAGCAACTTGAGGCACACAAAACTTAGTAAGCAGGGTAAACTAAAACAGAGGCGGCATAAGAAGAAGTCAGCAGTGTTACACAAAAGAAACAATGATGTACAATGCAAACCAAATCCTGTAGAAGAGGAAGAAGAAAGTGACCATGGAGAAGAGCTGTTGCAGATGGTGGAGAAGGATGACATAGATTTTCTACAGAATGCCGTTGCTAGCCACAGCTACTCACTGTTGAATCATATTCGCTTCACAGAGTAGGACTTACTATGTTGTACTATTACATTTTTATCTCAGCAACATTATTGTCTTTCATTTTTTGCTTGCTTCCCTTATTTTATAAGGAAGGACAGGCTTGCAATGTTATGTTTCTCTGCCTAGTAGCTTTTGAAGCAACTAATGGATTTTTATGCAACTATGTTGAATATCATGCCACTGGAGATACCCCATCTTTGTATCTTAAAACTTTGCATACTGTGTAGTGTATTAGAATATAAAATAAGCAAACAAACGAACCAGTGTTTAATAGTTTGTTTGTTTGTTTGCTTATTTTATATCCCATCTTTGTATGTTTACTTTCTTACCATTAATATTACCAGCATGGTAACTGTGAACGTCTGAGGCAGGCAGGACACATAGAGTGGAAACATCTTGGGAAGAAACGTCTGGTTTGCTATCATTATTCTGATAACTTCCCTTTTGCAATAGGACTATTTTATTACTCTCAGACAATTTACTACAGACTGTTTTCTTGTTTGTAATGACAAACTGAAAATATGTACAGTACATTGTCTTTATTATGTTAGTTCTTTAGTATTTGGAAATAGGAGGTCCATAATTGTGAAACAAGTTTCTCTTAACTTAGAATAAAGTCAACATGACTTTTCTAATTTAGTAATTATCAGTTTGTAGGCTAAGGAATTTTGTTATTGTTCTTTCCTATTCATACTTCACAGTAATTTATATGTCATTTGACACACTTGATACATTGGTGCAAAATAAATTAAGAATTATCATGATTATTCTTGTCGCCATAAATATTTGAGGAAGAGTGTCCTAAGAAGACAATTTTCCTGAAGATCTTGTGAGCTCTGTGGTGAATACAGAAAAGCAGTAAGATTTGGGTGTATATTAATTATTGTATGATGCTTTATCAACTGCAGAGGTTGTATAATGTGTAGGGCATTAATTTGGTTTAATAATGGATTATAATTTTTTCAGAAACAAGCAAAAGGATCATAAAAGGAAGAGAGACACAGTTGAAGAAGATGGAATGAATGTGGAGAAACATTATGAGGAAAGTGTTCCTGAGTTAGAACCAAAGAGGACAAAACATCTGTTACCAATCAAAACTAAAAGAGGATTGCTTTATCGTTCTGTTGCAGAGGATCTTAGTGGTATGTATTGATTGTTCTGATCTAGGTCAGTTATTGCAATTCACTTTCTTCATAATCCATTGACAAAGCATGTCAATGTTTTTTATGCTGCTTAGAAAGTCCTACTGCCATTACTGCTATATGTATCTGTGCCACTAAATTTCAACTGAATTTTGTGCACACGTAAGGAAATTGACCAACCATGTTTATCACTGTCCCCACAAAGTACAGTCTATTTAGAAGCTGTGTATGCTGATCCAGTTTAGTCCACTTAACATATACTCATAACTTGTTGCCTAAGAGAAATAAAATCAGCATTTTTCTTCTGACTTACAGGATGGCAAAAAAATATACCATATGCATGTGTTATAGGCTCCTCCTTTGCTTGTTATAATTGATATATTTGTGGTTCTTTCATTATCACTGTTTGTATGTTAGAGTAAACCTCTGAAATGTTGGTAAACATCGACTAGACTACACAGCGCAACAACCCAGAAGACAGAAATCTTCATACTCATCGCCTGATGACGGAGGCAGTATGACCTCTGAAACGTTGGTTAACATCGACCAGACTACACAGCTCAACAACCCAGAAGACAGAAATCTTCATACTCATCGCCTGATGACGGAGGCAGTATGACCTCTGAAACGTTGGTTAACATCGACCAGACTACACAGCTCAACAACCCAGAAGACAGAAATCTTCATACTCATCGCCTGATGACGGAGGCAGTATGACCTCTGAAACGTTGGTTAACATCGACCAGACTACACAGCTCAACAACCCAGAAGACAGAAATCTTCATACTCATCGCCTGATGACGGAGGCAGTATGACCTCTGAAACGTTGGTTAACATCGACCAGACTACACAGCTCAACAACCCAGAAGACAGAAATCTTCATACTCATCGCCTGATGACGGAGGCAGTATGACCTCTGAAACGTTGGTTAACATCGACCAGACTACACAGCTCAACAACCCAGAAGACAGAAATCTTCATACTCATCGCCTGATGACGGAGGCAGTATGACCTCTGAAACGTTGGTTAACATCGACCAGACTACACAGCTCAACAACCCAGAAGACAGAAATCTTCATACTCATCGCCTGATGACGGAGGCAGTATGACCTCTGAAACGTTGGTTAACATCGACCAGACTACACAGCTCAACAACCCAGAAGACAGAAATCTTCATACTCATCGCCTGATGACGGAGGCAGTATGACCTCTGAAACGTTGGTTAACATCGACCAGACTACACAGCTCAACAACCCAGAAGACAGAAATCTTCATACTCATCGCCTGATGACGGAGGCAGTATGACCTCTGAAACGTTGGTTAACATCGACCAGACTACACAGCTCAACAACCCAGAAGACAGAAATCTTCATACTCACTGCTGTAAAAACCTCAAATCTTACATAGAGTAATCCAGTTTGAAAGTTATACAAAATATATATGTATCTTTGCATTGATGACAATAAAATACAATTTCTAGAAGATGAACCAGAGCCAGCAAAGGTAGAAGTTATAGAAAACATTGATTCCAAACCTGAAGAAACTGACAGTGATGCTGAACTGGAGAATGAGCTTAAGGTTGTGGGAAGTGATCTTATTGATCCCAGCCGACCAGTCAGCACAGCAGAATTGCTGGCATCTCGTGAAGAGGCTCTGCGTAAACGCCGACTTCTCATAGGTGTTCTCGCTAGTGGCTTACTGGAAAATCCACAAATGAAGGTATTTCTGGAATAGCACAAACAAATTCATATTAACACTTTGAGGATTAGAATTGCATTCCCCTGTCATGTCAAGTGTTTGCTGTAAGTCTGCTGTCATATTGTGTGTGTTTAATATCAGTATCATTTTTTTAACATATTGTCAGGAAAGGGTACAATTTGTTTTATCATCTGAACTTTTCGACATATGTGTTGCCTCTTAGGTTCAGTATTTTCCATCTGTGTGGTAAGGAAATGCAAAATTACTGAAATTGGTGTGAACCTAAACCACAGTGGAGTATTAATATGTTTGTATTTGATTATATCGGAGTGAATGAGAATTACTTGGAGACTATTTTGTGGTGTGGATGCAAATAACTGTAATGAGTCTCATGTTGTTACTAGTGATGATATAATATTAGTGAAAATATTTTTAGTCTCTTTCCAAACCATGAGATGAACAGATTGTGTTTCAATAAAATTGCTGACAACCTGATGATGGTATTACAAACATACATACACCTTTATTACATTCCATGGATCCATAAGATAGTCAGATTACAATAGGATGTGAAAAAAGTCATAATAATAATACAATACATATTATAAAGTACAATTCATACTATTATATAAATTTCACATAATACAACAAAGGGTTCACCTAAAGTAATGATAAGTTACAAATAAATCTACCCATTACATACCGAAGATAAATTATAATTTATTTGTAAACAATAGAAATTCATCAATAGAGTAAAAGGAGTGTGTGATTAAGTATCTTTTTAATGCTACATTAAATTGCTTCTTTTTATCCACAAGACTTGTGACACTTGATGGTAGACTGTTGAAAATTTTGATTCCTGCATAATATGCACTCTTTTGAAAACATGAGAGGTTGCCAACTGGTCTATGAAGCTGATTTTTATTCTTCGTGTTGACACTGTGTATAGTAGAATTAGTTTGAAAAGTCCTTGGTATTTACAATAAAGTTCATTAATGAGAATATGTATTCACAAGGAAGAGCTAAGAACTCTAATATTTTAAATGGACTTCTACATGAATTTCTAGGTTTTACACCAGCCATTAATCTGACAATATTGTTTTGTGAATGGTGAGGGCAGCCAGAGCAGCCAGGTATAAGGCTGTTCAACTGACACTTTTTCTTTAAATACATACTTGTATTTCAGCCAATACTTACCAAAACTGACTCTGAATGTTTGCAAACTAGGTATATTTATTTTATGGCTTTAATGTGGTTATGATATTCTTTTCATAAACTTAAGGTTAATTTTTTCCAGGATATATATAATACAGGCATTCCCTACCCTTACAAGATGTATAAGCCATTGGATTTCTGTGACAGGGATTAGCTGTCTCTAACAGACTGTCTGATTAGGTTCACCACTCTTGGGCTTTCTTGATGGTCAAAAGAGATCTAGTTTCCAAACTGTGTGTTATAAAAGACTACGTAAAGCTGGCCCACTATATGCCACGTAGGTGCTTGGGGGAAGAGGGGTTTAGCTCCTACTCATTCTTGGCCTCAGCACTAGATGGGGTGAATGGTCAGCATCGCCCCGGCTGCACTCTACCCCCAGGAAAGGACCCTGGTACCCATTGGACAGGAGGCTGGGTGGTCCCCAGAACCGGTCTGGACACAGGCTAGAGGAAAATTCACCTGTCCCCGTCAGGGATTGAACCTTGGTCATCCAGTCCATAGCCAGTCGCTATACTGACTTAGCTACGCTGGGACTAAGTTGATTGTTAATGTTCATCAGGTTTTACTTATTATATACTTAGCTTCTGGAGAATACACATTTAAAATATATATGTATATCAGGGTTTATTTTTAAATGTTTGGTACAGTGTTGAGGGCATTGGTGATGTTAATATTTCAGTACTCTGTAAAAGGAGGTGTATGGTGTATTAACTTCAGTTAATATTTATCAGTCTGTACTTAATGGTGTTGGACCTTTGGGTTCTTCCACTCCATATTCAGTTTGTAATACAAATGATTATTCTGTCTTATACAGACCAAGAACTTCAAACGACTGTTAGATATGATGAATGAACAGGCAGCAGAATTGAGAATTACGGTCTGCAAGTTGGTGACAGTGTCCTTGCTGGAGGTCTTCAAAGATGTTATTCCGTCATACCAGATCAAGCATCAAGACAACTCAGGAGTGAAATGTAAAGTTTGTTTGTAGTATGATGGTTGCAGTGAATGAACATACTTTATATCCTTAAGCACACATGAGATGCAAAAGTCCATATGTGGTGAGGCATAAGACATGAAGAGATAGTTTCTTGTATAAAGATTGTAATAATAAATATATATGTTAAGGCATATTTGCCATTTTATGTTTCATCTCCAGAGTTTACTATAACACCTATTTTATATGAAGGTGAAATTGAACTTCATCGTATTTGTCAAATGTGTTTGATATTACCAAGATATCTGATTTACTTTTATAATTGCTTGATTACTTTAATTACAGAACTGCTGCACTTGTTTTATGAGGAGCTGCAAAGATAAATTATTTTCCTACATAATCAGCTCTTTTATTTGTGATTCATTGTGACTGATGTAATTACTAATTGTAGTCTACTTACCAGTGGCTGGCAGATGCAGTTCTATGCTCAAAATAGTCTTTCCCTTAATCTTTAGTTGTTCTGTTACTATAAACCTAATTGCAGTTGTTATGTTTCTGTATGCATGACTGAAGTTATGTTACTGTTTGCTGGTGGAGAGATATGAAGATGAGGTGAGTCTTATTCTATGTTTCAGTGAAGAAAGAAACGCTGAAATTGCAGGGATTTGAAAAGGCATTACTTAGTTCATACAAAATCTATCTACAGAGAATGGAGAAATTGGTGTCAGTGCTGAATAATAAACATGGAAACAGCAAAGTAGCTTCACAGGTAAAGTACAGTTGTTCACATCTTAGTTTGGTCATATTTTTATATTGCTAATTAGTGTTAGTAGTAATTAAACTTTAACATCTTTTCTTTGTAATTTTCTGCGTTGTTAGCCCTTGGTAGCCCAGTGTCGGACTGAGTCCAACATTGAAAAATCTGAGTTCCGGTCAAATGTCGGACTGAGTCCACCACATGTTTTACGAATTTTATACATGATCTGGAGTCAAGCTGTGGCTGGCAAACAGTGTCAGCATATTATTTAAGCCTTCATGTGTACACTAATGCTATCCAAGTTTTCCTGACAATACTTTGTGAACTATGAGCCAGGATAGCTCAGTCTGTATAGTGACTAGCTATGGGCTGGGCGATCGGGGTTTGATCCCCTACCAAATGTGTAGAACTAAATAGATCAAGAAACCTCTGAAAGGAAGCAGCCAAGACCCACACTGGGTTATAGAGCCAAGAAGAGCTACTGGCAGCTTAATTAATCAAAGTACAAACAAACATGCTGTATCCATGCTAAGCAGATCTGCAGTCACTTTTTTGTGGTGCAACCTCAGCTAATGGATGGAAGAGACAGTTCGTTAGTTATGTATTCAACAATACAGAGTTGCAGACAACTGTCGTAAGGTGATTCTCTAGCTTGGGAGTTGAGCATGGGGCTCACAACCCTTTATCATGAATTCTTTCAGATTCTTTGGCACAGCCTGACCAACAGAACAAGTATGTGAGAATTGATCTTACAAAAATAGGTTGCAGAGTTATGACCTAAGTTTATCTCGCTCAGGATAGAGCCTACTGAACCTTAAGATTCTTAGTGAGGAATTTCTTGGTCAGATCTCACATAAATAGAGCTAGTTACTTGCTGTTTGTAGAACATGTCTTACATCTTGTTCCAGCAATCACTGAGGTTGGGAGAGTTAGCACTCACTTGCATGTGTGATCTGCTGGTGGCACATCCGTACTTCAACTATTCTCATAACCTGGTACAGATGTTAGTTCCATACCTGAATCATCCTCTGCTATCTGTGCGTCAGCTGTGTGCCAACTCCATCTGTACTGTATTCAGAAATGATAAGAGGGGAGAAATATCTCTTGAGGTAAGTACTTTGCAGGTGAGGATACATGATTTTTAGCTCGTTGCTGCTTTTGTTATCAAACACTTATTTGCTGAAGACTACTTCTCTGCCATTGGTTAGAACCCACATTCACATTGTCTAAACTCTTACCCTTGTTGTATCATAAAGCAGGAACCCACAGTTAGCCTCTGCCACTTGCTACATACAAGTTAACACAGGCTGGTGGCAAATATATTTTTAACCTCAATCTGAATTGTTGTAAGTTTAATACATAGTTTTGGGGTATTCAGTCTATGTTATGAAGCTGTAAGTTGTAAAATACGTTTCCCTCAGTGGACTAGTGGTTATTGTGCTTGCCACTGGACCCAAGGTTCATGGGTTCAAACCCGGCCAAGGTCGATGAATTTTTAAGGGTGATAAAAATACGTAGTACAACTTCCTTCGGAGGGGAAGTAAGCTGGCGGTCCCATGTCATAGATGTATGGCATGTAAAAGAACCTTACGAGCATGAACGAGATGTTTCGTAAGCAAAATTCAGCAGCCATTTCTCACCCAAGTCTCTCCTGATTCACTGCTAGATGGTTCTAGCAGACAAATCAGGAATGAGTAGAAATTGTGCAGAGTCAGTGGGCCAAGGCTCAACTCGGGCTGTTGTGCCATAGAAAGAATGAGAAGAAGAAGTGGTAAAATACTGGACAAATTTGCCATGTTTTATTCAGGCTATTAACTGCTGTTTGCCAGATCAAAGTGTATCACTTTATATGGATGTAAACTGCAGTACGAAAGTGGGACTAGCTGCACATTGCCTTTGTTGAAGGTCATTGTTGGATCTTTAAACTCATAAATGCATTCCTACTTTCTGGCAGTTAGGAACCAAGAAGGTCTACAATTTCTTCACAAAAATGTATTTAAAAACTGTGTACTTATTTCCAGATTACTCACAGTCTATTATATCCTGATACTTATATAGATGTTAATGAAATTTCATCCGTAGAGTATTTATCTACTTTATTAACAACTAAGGAATCGTTCACATGATGCTCCATTTATTTTTCAGATTGTACGTCATATCAATCGTCTTGTGAAGTCACGTTCACATTCTGTTCACTCTGAAGTTTTGAATGTTCTTCTATCACTACGTATCAAGGAGATCAATCTTGAAAAGGAAAAGGAGTATGAATTAAAGCAAAAGACTTTTATGAAACATAAACAAAAGCTTCTTGCAATGTCCAAGAAAGAGCGAAAGGTATGGCATTGACATAAACAGTAAGGTATTTAGTTTAGCATTTAAGTGTCATGAGAAAAGTTTCATAAGTGACCTTTATCATTGTGACTTCCACAACAGCGGGGACACATCTATTGAAGTAAATGTAAGCCCAGTGAGGTAAAAACAAGATTGGAAAGGTGCTCTTTGGAGGACGCTGAAGTTCTATAGGTTCTCTTTACACCACATTCTGTTCATGTACTGTTTGATGTTGCCTCCTTAAATGTATACAGTATTTGGTCTTCTCTGGATCTGGTAATAAAGCAGTAGGAACTGCCATACCTAACAAAAAGAATTACTGAAGCAGACTTTTTGTGGCCAAACTCGAGGAAGGTAGGAAGTCACTTTACTCAAGTTATCAGCATTGTGTCAAGGAGCAGTGTGGCCAGATGGCAACGGTTTTACCATCAGGAAGAAACATTGTAGCAGGATAGAAGAAAACAATTGGTTTCTATGTTGGAACAGAGGACATAATGTTCTTCAGCTTAATGACTGTTTATTAAATAAACTAACAAATAAGAAGATGCATAATTATTGTTTGTTAATAAATATAATGTGAGTTTTAATTTTGCACATTTGCAAATATATATTTTTAAATAGGCCTGTGGTGTGGGGAAGTATGCCACCTTTTGAAACAGTCTGCCCTCCTTTTGTTGACCAAAGCTGCTTCTACTGCCAGTTTGTTTAGCATGTGATTCTAACTATGCTTCGTCAAAAGAATATCTCAAAGGCAGTGTCTAAACTGTGGTTTAATTGCTGTGTATTAATTTTTTCCTTTTTTTTATAGTTGTTATTACTGTTGAATTACATTCATATAGCAAATTATATTTGAAAAGGAGACTAATGTTTTCACAGTTAGTGGTAACATTACCACCCCATGAGTGACCACACGTCATTAAGGTTGGGTGATCGTTTATTCCAACTTTCAGGAAAGCAGACTTTCTTCTCCTTGACTACAGATAGACAGTGGGTTAACGGTACTTTTGTGGACTGCAAGCTGTAAATAGTTTTGGAAGCCAAATGCAAGTAACTTATGGAAAAAGTCATGGCTATTTAGCAATCTGTTGTAGTTACACTGTTTTTAATTTGGCACTACAGGCCATAAATAGTTGATACAGCATAAAATAGCCAACCAACATGAACATTTTATGTGTGTTTGTTATGTTTTAATTATTATGTACTGTGATGGCTCCATATTTCTTTTGTGTAGAGAAGCAAGAAACTAGAAGCACTTGAGAAGGAACTATTGGAGACAAAAGCAGAGGAGAATAAGCAAGCCAAGCAACAGCACCTTACAGAAGTCACCAAACTGGTGTTCACCATTTACTTCCGTGTACTGAAGAAAGCACCCTCTTCTAAGATATTGAGCATCACACTTGAGGGACTCGCATGGTGATTTTAATTTTACTGTTGCTTGTCACATCCTCACTTCTGTTCCATTACACTTGCCCTCTTAGAAGCTACTTCTCCATCACTGCTTTTGTCTAGTTGTGTATGTGAGTGCACATGCTTCTGCTGGCATGGCAGGAATATTGGGATTCTCTCCTCTCTAGCACATGCAGAATGTCTGGACTTGCCAGCAGACCCCATGAGCCCCTTCCTATGGTGTGCATAGATGGTTAAAGCATGCAGTTGACCATTTACTTCTCTCAGCTGAGGTCTAAAATATTTGTGCCCTTAAATTGAGGTCTTATACCTTGCACTTTGATGTGTTTAACCTTTATCAAACAGGAATGGGGGATTCAAATTCTTGTGCTTCAGGATTGCCAACTGTATGCTACTGAGACACATAGCCAGCTATATTGTCTGTCAGCTGTGATACCTGATCAATAAGAGTTAATTGTCCAGATCAGTTTTCTTTCCTTCTCCCCACAATGTCTCTCTTTAAATGCAATACACTTATTTCATAACTTGACCAATGATTGGAAGATGCAATACAAACCATTCATTGTCAACACCTTACATTGCCCCTTCATGGCTTTGAGACTCATTCAGTAGAAATTGTGACCTTAATGACTGCAAAGAGCCAAAATTTGCAAGCAGATTTGCTGAAAGCATGTATAATTCTAATACCTTTTTATCTTACAGGAATAAATATTTTGTTTATCATCTTGGAGTACCATTGTGAAAAATTAGCTCTTTATCTGTCCAGTGTTTTACAGGAATCTGTCTGTTGAGCAAATGGAGAAGAGACTGTACTTTATTTGTCCAGTGTAAATGTGTATGTACATTCATCAATGAGTCCTTGCAAACCATACATTGGTCAAACTGGTGATGCTTATTATCCATTACTAACTAACTAACTAGATGGCTTACCGAACCTGAAGGTTCATCACCGAATTAACCAAAGCCCTCCACCGGACCCTGTCCTGGGCCAACAAAATCCAGTCTCCATCAACTCCTATCTCCCATAGATCCTGCCTGAGATTATCCTCCCATCTATGTCTAGGTCTTGCCAGTGGTATCTTCCCCATTACTGTAATACAGTAGGGCCCCGCTTTTCAGTGATCCGCTAATACAGCGCTTTTCAATTGCATGCATATGCCCCACGTGCTCAACAGCTGAGTCAGAGAAGTGCGTCCCACCAACCCCTGCAAGAGCTTCCGAACCATCACTGAAAACAATAAGATTCGTTGAAGAGTCAGATGATGAATATGTGCCATCTCCTTCATCCTTCCTATATTAATTTTCAAATTTATAATCACCAATCACTATAAGATGAGGACGAAAATATTTTAAGGTAGGCAATGTGTGTACTACTGATATTCATTTTACTTTCATATTATTTTCTTAGGCCTAGCGCTATTGTGCACTTATTATATGATAGTGTAAACATCTTATTAGGATTTGATATGCATTTGCAATTGAAAAAAGGCAAATATCCGCAAATATCCCTAACCTGCCGTATATGCGGTGCCCTACTGTATAAATTGTGTCTCTAAAGGGTTAATTTAAAACAGTTGTAAAGGATACATTTTAAATTGCATGATGATAATTTATGTCTTTAAATAGCAGAAAGGCAATGAAAGAATTATTATAATGAAGTAGAACACCACACCTTTGCCATGCAGATTCCTGTATGGTATTCATAATATAAAACTAAGTTGTATTGTGCTTTTATTGTTGAGGTTGTATTTGTTCAATTTCATATAAGTGTATCTGCAAAGAATTGGAATTATTGGAAATCCTTTATATTATTTTTATGCCTTCAGAACATTTAAATGAAAATCTTGTGATCATTGTTATGACATTGGTTTCCATGTTATTATGTGTATGTTTGTTAGGTCTCAGGACTTGTACTCAACAACATTGTTCCATTGTAAATATATTTAAAAAATGCCTTTCAGTTATGCTCATTGCATCAACTTGGAGTTTTATCAAGACATTGTGAATGTATTGAACCAGTTACTGGAACATGAGCAACTAGGTTGTCGAGAACAGTTGCACTGCATCCAAACAGTTTTCACCATCCTCTCAGGCCAAGGGGAGGTTCTGAACATTGATCCATTCCGTTTCTACGTTCACTTGTACCGCAATCTTCTTTCAGTTCATGCAGGTAACTACGAGATCACATTCATTCCCCATATCTTATCAGTTGGTATATCATAATAAAATTATGTCGTGGGCCCAACTGAGTAGGCACCTGAAGACGGAGATAGAGTCCCATCTCCGAAACGTTATATACGTTTTATATTTTATTTCCTAGACAATGGATAATATCCAAGAAAATTTTTATTCAAATGTGTTATTTAATGAAAATAAATTGTAATTACTTTTCAGTTTCTCCTGTTTATATAAATTAATGTCTTTAACTAGGTGTGAGTCATAAAGACCTTCCAACTGTATTGAAGACACTAGATTTAGCTGTGATCCAGCGGCATAAAAGGCTTTCCCAACAGCGTATATTTTCATTTACAAAGCGACTCGCAACATTGGCTTTGCAGTTGTTACACAATGGCTCCATTAGTTGCCTTGGAATGATAAGGACCATTATTCAGGTATGTGTTTTGTAACCTGGGCTAAAAGAATACTCACCCTTTTCAGCACAGGGAAGTTAACAAGACCTCATACTTTTAGCTTTAATTTTATATAATTATCATCATCCTCAGTATTAGAACTTGTTCACTTTCATAAATGTTGCAGAACTGAACCTCTCCTTGTATTTAGACATCTTCCTCAGCTTCTTCCTTTGGGTTAATGGTTTTACTTTTTTAAGCCTAGTTTCCTCATACAGTTAAATATATATATATATATGCAATTGTATTCTTTACAATGAAATTTTGCTATAATGAAAGGCAAGGAAATCGCCCTCGGTGGACTAATGGTTAGTGTGCTTGCCATTGGACCCGAGGTTCGTGGGTTCAAACCTGACCGATGTCGATGGATTTTTAAGGGTGATAAAAATTCCTTCAGAGGGGAAGTAAAGCCATCAGTCCCATGTCGTAGATTTACAGCATGTAAAAGAACCTTATGAGCATGGTACAAGATGTTTCTTAAGCAAAATTCAGTGGTCATTTCTCTCCCATGTCTCTCCTGATTCACTGCTCCACTGTCAGTTCCCATCAGCTACCACGCAACAAACAATGGACTGGTTACCCAGCAGCCGCGAGGATGAGAATAGAGGTGGTTCCCAAAATGCTCGCAGATTTTGTTTGTTCACCTTTTAGCCACCTGACGCAGCTTGTAGCCTGAGAGTATTTCATCAATTTCAGTTGCCACGAAAGCTTCACTTGATACAACACACGTACAAAGTCTGTTCCCTTTTTACTTGATGAATTAGGCTATAATCTTTGTCCTTCATTAAATAGGTGCATAGATCTGTGGACATATTGCTGGACCCAGACTCATCTGTTGGACAAGGGATGTATTTCCCAGAGTTGGATGACCCTGAATATTGCAACGCTAGCAACACAGCCCTCTGGGAACTGATTGCACTACAGCGCCACTATCATCCAACTGTAAGGAAGTTTGCCCACAATGTCCTGCTCAGTGTCCCAGCAACAGGTGACGGCTGTCTAGCACCAGAACTTACCAAATTGTAAGTGATTTAATATTTGCATATGTTCTTAATTCCCCTTTTCCTGGCATGCTGGGAGATCCCACAATTGTCCCTGGAATCACTTACATGAATTGATAACAGCAAATACTGGAGGTACCAGAAAGTTAATCCACCCAATTTATAAAGAAGAAAATGTGCATGGTGTTTGAGTAAGTGTGGATTTTGACATGTAGAAAGAAACAAGTAGCTCATGGCTAATGTGCAGAAAGATTTAGTACTTGAATGTAGAATGCTGCTATATTGACATCAGGTTATATGTGATCCATCTTTTGTGCTGTGCAGTCAAAGAAAATCTTATTTGTTGTTTTGGTCCTTTCAGCTGTGTATATGTTCATGTATACAGGATGTTTCTAAATAATGTGATAACATGATGGGGGAGCTTCAGGATGTCGGTATGAGTGAAAGAGGTCCAATGAACACGGTCTAGAAATGCTTATGTAAAAAGTTACAGAGGTTAAAAGTTTAAAAGAACATAACGTTGCAAGTCTGGTTCAGTCAGCTTGGTGCTCAAACCTGTGGTCTGGAATCATAGGATATCATCTCATCAGTTCATATATCTTACCAGCAAAACTTACTACTGGTGCTTGGTACCTTTGGTCATTTGACTCAATTTCTGGAGGATGTTTCATTGTGCACACACCAATGGATATCTTTTTGGCAAAATGGTGCTCCAGTCTGGCTGTGTGGGAGTGATAAGGCAGGCATTATCATGGATGTTGGATGAGTCATGGTTCTGAGTCTGCTCTGTCATGTCACCATGGTTTATGCCAACATTGTTGACACCAGAGAATAAATTTAGCAATGCATAGAGAATGCAGAAAATGAGGTATATGGTACACCAGGGATGTTGAACATATCCGAGCTTTATTCTCACATTGTGTTGATGCATGTATTCATGCCTGAGGAGGGAATTTTGAACATTTGTTGTAAAGGTAAACAAGTAAATCTCTCAGTCAAGGATTTTACATTTCAGAAATTCTTTACAGAAACATTTCTGAACGTACATTCATTGAAGAACTAAACATTACACCAATAATAGATTTTATAATAAAGTACAAAAAAAAGGAAAGAACATGTACACAGAATGATTTCAGGCAGCATACCAAAATTGATTTTAGGTTACCACCCAAAAGGAAAGAGATGTTTGGGCTGACCCCTCAAAAGATGCAAGGATTCTGTTATGTAATGCCCATAACAGGCCTTAAGGCCTATCCTGGAAAGGAAGATGTTCATTGAACCTTTCTGACTCGTATTTTGTATTGCAAGAGCTGCTCTATCATTTAAGGCACATAATTTATAAACATCTTATATATGCTTGCAAATTAGTATGTTTTGCAATAAGTTACAAATTATCTTTCTCTTTCTAAATATATCACTTAGTGGAATTTTACAGAATCTCATGTAACATTGTTTTGAGATAACATAATATGCCATCCCTGCACTTGCTGCTAATCTTCTTCCACTTCCCATTCTCCCTCTGTCTCTGAAACAGACCCTCTAACACATATACACCAACAGTTCTTGATTTCCATCTGCAGCACAAGAGAAATTTATGCAATACATTTGTTTTGCATTTACAAGACATGTTAAATCTTGAAACTTCACCTTGGTCACGTAGATTATGGTTTCTAATATTTAATTCCATTCATATATATGTTTAAACTTTCTTGTTTGCTTTTCTCATTGTCTTCATTCAAAGCATAATGTTTTTGTATTTTATAGGTCTGCAGAAGAACTGTACAATGAATTTAATCCATCAGAAATGGCATTTCAACCCCCAGTGCCTGTTCCCAAGAAAGTTGAACCCAAAGCCAAGCCTCCATTTAATTTCTGCTTCCGGAATGAAGCTCTGTCCAGCTATGTGAAGAAAGTCTCGGAGAGTAATGTAGAAGAGACAGTAGATTTTAGCCTGTTTAATTTCAATGCAAATATATGATTGCTGGCTTTTGGTAGTATTATTGATTTCTTGTTACACAGGTATTACAGTAAACTCTTGGTTATCTGTGGACCTAGCTGGTTCAGCGTGGAGAATTGGTGCTAGAATTTGCTGAAGATCATAGAGTAGGGATCGAGTGATTGTGTCTGAAATGATGCTACCAGGCTGACCTTCTCAGAGTTCTTACTGATGAAGACAACAACATAATGGCATTATGGGAAAAAATTATAATGTTGGGCACTATAAATGGCATATTTCAGGCATGGTCTTCTGTGAACCTTGGGATGCTGGTTTGATCATATAAAAAACCTTCATAATTTAGATCTAGAAGATGATGTTTTGCAAGGTTTTCCTAATGAAGAAATCAGAAGTCCAAAGTTCTTGATGTGGTGTGTTCTAAGAGAAGTTTTGAAAATGCCAATAAAGATAGCATTGAAGAATTGCTACAGTGTGCATTTTGTGAGCTTCCAGCACATGACACAGACATTGTCAATGCTGCAATGAAACAATGGGAGGAGAAGGCATGGGGAGGACTAGAGTGAAATTCATACTGTCCTCGCTGAGCTGGCCTTAGGACATGATTTATACAGGTGACTTAGCATAGTTAGGACTGAAATATAGGAATGTCTGGAGTGCATATACCAACAGCAATGTGCAATACCTGCATAGATAACAGGAAACCCTGAATTAAAACTAATAATGATGATAATAATGCACAAATTATTTTTTATATGAAACTAAGATAAGTGCTCAGATATGAATTTTTGCTCCATATGTCTGCTGGCAATTTGTTCTATATAAGCACAGGTGTTTTTTTATTAGTTACTAAAAAAATATATATGTGTATATATGATACCAAAACAAGCATCTGATTATCTCTTCAATATTTAAGACTATTCCAAAAATATAAATATCAATTTTCATCTGTATAAACCTTTGCCTGTCCTGACAAAGACTGGCTTGACTGTGAAAAATTGGATTGGACACCACATAGTTTTGTAGATAGTCACTAATGTTTTGATGAAACCTGTTTCCTACATCTTTAGGATAAAATACAGGGGCAATAATTTCAGCAGAAACATTGGTAACCACAAGGCAACGCAGTGTCTCAAGCCAGACCACAATCCCCGTTTTGTGTTGTAAACAGTGTCAAACTTACTATTTTCTGGTTTAATTGAAGTGTTGGGGTCAGCATCTGGCTTCTCTGATTCTCGGATGATTTCAACTGTTTCTGTACTTTAGATTTATCTATAGAACCATAAATGTGGTTCAATATACTGTCACAAAGTTTTTCCAGGACCTTCACCCCCAAACCATCCACTTCAAGAACTGCATCTAATGTGCAAAACTGGCCTCGTTTATACCGGAACTGTTGCAAGCTATTTATACAACCTTTGCCAAAATCAAACCTAAAACAGTAAATGTGAGTTTATTGGTTTTAATTAATATGAGAATGATGTGCTTATGTAACTCAAAAGGTATGGAGAATTCAAGTTGTGGGAATTTTCACTTGCTGTTAATAAAATTAGAGAATTAAGACAAATACACATATACATTTGAGATCACTTATAAAATTTCTCTGGGCTTTATTGCGATAGCCATAGAATTCTGAATCTTTCACACATCTGTAAAAGTTTGTTCATGTTATTCACTGCTGTGTCTTTCAGTTCAATAATGTATGCCACTGACTAACCAAACAACACAAAAATTTGCCCACACACCTGAAGATGGCACTCACTAGACCGAAACATGCAGTTGATAAAATGAAAGCATGCATTTGGAAACAAAGATTACTGATGTGTGGGCGGATATTGTATCATTGGTTCAAACAACAAAATTTGTCATTTGTGACTAATGGCGTACCATGGTCACAACTTTGAAAGGCACAATCAAAAAATGGTTTATTGTTTAACATACAGAGTATGAAAAGTAATATGTATAGTGGAAATGCATGTTACTCCTATTTAATCTGCGTTATAATGAAGTGCACATTTACATTTCTACTGTGGCATGTAGAGGTTACGGCATGAACTCCACAATATGATAACGCGTTTCATTTCCCGCTCCGTTCCTTAAACGGCGCCAAGCCATTCCGTCATCTTACCCCACCCCAAATACCATATTTTATGTAGGCAACACTGTAAAGCCATTTAAAATAAACAAATATTTTGCTTAATATTTCTTTTTAAAATGAATTGTTTCATAATAGATTATGGCTTTATTAATACTATACTTTAATCGTTTATAGATTAAATTGCTGTACAAATTATTCCTGTTTAAATTCGCCAATAAGGTGGCGTGTCGTGGAGAACCGCGCCCGTATGACATCACACACCCATCGGAGAACCAATGAGATGTCTACATTCTATGATGTCAGTTTTATATATATATATGAAAGGGTAGCGTCAGTTGGTCCCATTGTGCGTTTGCAGAATCGTCGTAACTAGATTATCGCAAACAACATAGAATAATTAACACTGCTTTTTTGTTACGAAATTATCTACTACAATGGTAAGTACTATAGTTCGCTCATTTCAGATATTTTAAGGAAGTAATTTTCGTTGTGTTTTTTGATTACAATGTTTTTCACGAATGGAATGTGCTACCTCTGCAAAATACATTATTACCTGTGATTAATAAAATGTAAGTTCTGGCATCGAATTAATGCGAAAGTAATATGAATTTTTAATTTTGTGTGTTACGTCTATCATATAACCTAAATTTAATTAATTTTGCTTCCACTTGGCAGTTGCTGCATGTCGGCAATGCAGGATCTATTGCCACCGAGTATTCAAAATTGTTTGTTAAGGCTTGAATAAATGATGGACTTTCCTTGTAAGGGAAAGTTGAGTCTGGAATTAATTTGTTATAACCTTAGAACGATCAGTGAGGTTCTGTATGAAATGAGTTTCCAATGTTGCTAAGAAGGGATTTGTGTGACCAGTGATGCATCGGTTGTATATATTTTTACATGCATTGATGTTGCATTGTCTGAAGAATCACTGCTTCCATATGTCAGGATTTTTCAATATCTTGTCATGTGACAGGGTAGTCTGAATTAGTGTTGTGTTTCAGCGTGAGTGTATTTCAATTCATGTTGGGCAAGCTGGCGTGCAGATGGGAAATGCATGCTGGGAATTGTACTGCCTGGAACATGGTATTCAGCCTGATGGTCAAATGCCATCTGACAAGACTCTAGGAGGTGGTGATGACAGCTTCAATACATTCTTCAGTGAAACTGGTGCAGGAAAGCATGTACCAAGGGCAGTTTTTGTGGACCTGGAGCCCACAGTAGTAGGTATGTACATTTGAAATCATATAAGTGAAGCAAAGAGCATCCTGTTTAATTGTATTGGGAAATGTAACAAAGTGTAATGTTGATATGTTAAAATTGGATGTTGACTGGTGTGCCCACAGATGAAGTTCGCACTGGCACCTACAGGCAGCTATTCCACCCTGAGCAGCTGATTACCGGAAAGGAAGATGCTGCCAACAACTATGCCCGAGGTCACTACACCAT